AGTCAGATCATGCTTCTAGATAGCAAGAATATTTTAAAATTCTTAGTTGTTAAATTAATCCATAAATTTAAGGTAAACTCAATAAAATTCATGAAGATACTTATCAGGCACCTGAAAAATAATTCTAAATTATACCTGGAGGAGCAAAGAAACCAAAAGCCAAGAAAGGGTAATAAAATGAAAATAATGTAGACAAAACCCTTGTCAGATTTTAACACACATATTATACGTGTGCAACCGTTAAAGAAAAATATGATACTATCATGAGAATAAATAGAATAGGGAGAGTTGATAGTCCAAAAAAATAAAATCTAATAGTATGTAATGTAGGTGAAAATAAGGATGGCGTTGCAAAGCAATTGGAAATGACCATTTCTTAAATGATATTTAGGAAATGGCCAACAAAGGGAGCCTGTGTATTTATTTCACATGGATAAATGATTGAAATGGGAAACATGATATATAAGAAGATAAGCTAGGTGAATATTGATATCACTTTTCCATGAGGAAAGTCTTGCTAAGAATAATTTTAAGCAGAAAAACTGATACAAAAAGTACAACATCTATACTTTAGAACATAGCATAATCAGGATTGAAAGGACATTGAAACATTGGAGAAATCTATGCAATAGGTATGATAGGTCACAAGTTAACAGCATTAAAAGATGAAGAGACTTTATAAATCAATTGCAAATTGATGAATATACAATTCAAAAACTGGGTAAAGGACATGAGTAGCCAATTTATAAAGCAAAAAAAAGAATCAGGGAATTCCCTGGTGGTCCAGTGGTTAGGGCTCTGGGCTTTGACTGCAAGGGGCACGGGTTCAATCCCTGGTCAGGGAACTAAAATCCCACATGCCACGTGGCCGAAAAAAAGAAAAAAAAAATTTTGTACTTCCCTGATGGCGCAGTGGTTAAGAATCTGCCTGCAAATGTGGGGGACATGGGTTCAATCCTTGGTCCCGGAAGATCCCACATGCCACGGAGCAACTAAGCCCATGTGCCACAGCTCCTGAGCCTGTGCTCCAGAGCCCTCGAGCCACAACTACTGAGCCCGTGTGCTGCAACTACTGAAGCCTGTGGCCTAGAGCCCATGTTCTGCAACAAGAGAGGCCACCGCGGTGAGAAGCCCACGTGCTCCAATGAAGAGTGGCCCCTGCTCGCCGCAACTAGAGAAAGCCCGCGCACAGCAACGAAGACCCAACGCAGCCAAATAAATAAATAAATAAATAAATAAAAGCAAAAAATAAAAAGAGCTTCAATTAAAATAATCAATACTTATTTTAAAAATCCTAACTTTACTAGTAATGAAAGGAATTGAAAATTTTAAATGTGATATGTGATTATAATTCACTTATCAATTTGTGAATCATTTAAAAAGAATAATAGTATCTAGAGTTGGCTTGAATGTGAGGAAATGGGAGCTTACCTATTTTACTGATGCAATTATAAATTGGTATAATATTTCTGATAGGCAATTTGTCAATTAAGTATCAAAAGCTTCTGATACAGTAATTCCACTCTAGGAATCTATCCTAAAAGAATAATTTGATATTTGGCAAAGATGTGTGAAAACAACGTACTTACACAACAATAGTCAACTGATATCATATACCCTTGTAATGAAGTTAGGAGGATATTTAGGGAAAAAAAGTGTTGACGTAAGTATACTGATGCTGAAAAATGCATATCATGTATTATTATGCAGGGAAAAAAGCGGACATTATTTTATGGTTGCCTTTTTTAAAGATCAAAATATGTGCCGGTCTTCCCTGGTGGCGCAGTGGTTGAGAGTCCACCTGCCGATGCAGGGGACGCGGGTTCATGCCCTGGTCCGGGAAGATCCCACATGCCGCGGAGCGGCTGGGCCCATGAGCCATGGCCGCTGAGCCTGCGCGTCCGGAGCCTGTGCTCCGCAACGGGAGAGGCCACAACAGTGAGAGGCCCGCGTACCGCAAAAAAAAAAAAAAAAAAAAATATATATATATATATATATATATGCCAAGAAAAAGTCTGGAAGGCTATAAAAATTAGCAGTGATTATTTCTGGATAGTATATTAAGTTATTTTATTATTTCTAATTTTATTTCTGCTTGTTTGTATTTTATAATTTTCCTACAAGGAATATGTATTAATTATGCAGTAGAAGAAACTTATAAAATTATTTGCAAATATATTTTACAATTACTATGGCTGTGATTAAAATTAAACTTGAAGTACAGTTTGTCCTTTTCTATTCACACTTTCCCTGGAATACTAGATTGATGAATTTATTTTAGATTTTTTCTCTTCTGAAGATTGTTGTTATTTGATTATGGGGTAAACAAAGATTTTTAAAGAAAATAATTAATTAGAAAAGACACAAGCTCTATATTCATAATATATAAAGTGTTACTACATGAGACAGAACCCTTTAAACACTCAAACATTTTAGTTCAATTCACTTATTGCTAGAGTGACCTTGGGCAAGTCTCTGAATCTTCTGATGTTTCATATTCTTTCCTCATCTACGAAATGGGGATAAAAATATCCAACACGCCTACCCCCTAGGGCTGTTTACCCCTAGGGCTGTTTAGGAACTAAGTGGAACAATGGCCATTAGCAGGTTTTATAATCCAATGAAGAACTACATAAATGAGATGGGCTCTTCTCAGTATTTTTTTCTTTGCACTTTTCTTATTCATTACATGTTCGTTATTTTTTTTAAAGATGCCATAAGTCTAATATTTTCAAAGTAAATGCATCTCAAAGCCTGGGTGGATCAGCTCTTCATTTCCCCAAACAGCACCACTCTTGATATTATTAGCCCCAGATGGACTCAAATGTTGAAGAGTTATCCAGTGTTCTACTTTCCTGCTGCCTGCTGAGTTGTCTTTGAAGCTCGGGCTGTAGAATGGAGTAAGATAAAAATGAAATAAAAGGCTTGTGTGTATTAAGATGGCTTTCCCTCTTATATTTTTAAAGAGGCCAAACGCTTATGCCGAGTTTAGGCAAACACAATCCTGATTATTTACATGGCATAATGGAAGCAAGCACTCAAGGAGAGAGAAATCTGATGCTTTTACTCAGCATGCTGTAAACCATTATCTCATGTTTTCTATGGAAAACAGTCTCAGCTGGGAAATTTGGTAACTCAGTAGGCTATTAATAGGATGTAGAATGTGATTACTCTTTTTGGATCACTTCAATATGTAATTACTTTTAGGATGTGGTAGAAAGAAACTCTATTAAATGATAATTATAGGACTGTATTTGCTTTAACGTTCTATAATAGCTCTAAACATGGGAGTTTTCATTAACTGTTTGCCATAGCTAATAAAGTCATTTTTCTTAAAAAGTAGCAATTCCCTGCAAAAGTGGTAGCTCCACAAAGGATTAGTTTCTTATAGGAAAGGGCAGGGGAAACAAATTGTGCAGTAGGTTGGCTTCTCCATGGTAATATAATCTCCTTGAAAATATAGATGGCATTCGGAAGTACTGTGACAAAGTGAAATATTTATAAGTCCCTAGAGAACAATAGGTCTTAGTATAATATTTTCAGAGGGTAAACAGCAACTAAATATTATTGCACACATAAAAAGAAGACAAGGCAGGTGATGGAGGCAAAGTTGGCAAAGAAAAGCCTAGAAACACCAGCTGTTTTAGGAGGTGTCCAGCGATAAACAGGGTTATTGCCAGGAATACATCCAGCAATTAGACCTCAAATGTAAATTGGGGATTATATGAACACATAGATATAAGGATCATAATGAAAAGCTCAAATCAGTCCAAGAAATAATAATAAAGTATGCCAGGTCATATCCCCCCAAATCCAAGGAGCATGGGGCACAGTGGTTTAGGCTGCAACCTCTAGGCTCTGAATGTCCAGGTTTAAAATCTAGGTCTCGCTCTCACATGCCTGATTTACTTAATGGCCTGTCCCTCATTTTCCTCATCTTCAAAATGGGAATGATAATCCTCACCTATGATGCTGTTGAGAAAATTAAAGTATGGGAAGGATCTTGGCACGGTGTTTAGAACATAGTTACTGGTATGTGAAATATAGATAACACTGATAATGGTGATGGGGAAAGTAACATTACTTATTAGATTAATTTAAGATCCTATAAACCTGATCTCAGTCATCAAGAAAGCAATATATCTATAACCTCGTACATAGCTAGCATGTGTCTAATGAAAACATGTGTTCAGAAGGACCACATTTTATTCCTATGTCAAGTCATGGCATTTGTCTTCCTGTTTTTATAGACCTGCATTGTCACAGGCTTATAGGAACAGGTGCAGGCCAAAATAGCCTTGCCAGGAGTCAAGAAATTTACTTTTTGATCTTGGCTCTGCTATACACTTTGTCAAGGGACTGCATCAGTTTGGGCCTATACTACAACAAAAAACTACTTCGAATAATTTCCAAGTCTAGAACCCCCTTGACTAATGAAATGAGAAGTAGAAATTGCATCAAATTTTGCATGTTTACAGTGGAGAACAATGCTTTATTCATGCCCTTCAGGCAGTAATTCCATAACTACCTTTAGGTATCAAGCTCTGTACCCAACCACATTGCATTAAAACTATGCTGGGAAGGGAAGGACAGCTGAAAGATTACATTACCTTACAAGGTTGAACTAATCTCTTTTAATGCTTTACTTAATATCAATATTCATAAAGCCATGCTTCCCCCTAAGGATGTATCAACCTCTTAAAAAAAGATAAATGAAGTTGTTTGGTATTGGCCCTGTAAGCCTCCCCACTTGGTTTTCGCACTGCTTCGTGAATATCAAAGCCAACAACAACAAAAAAGGTAAAATAAAATTAGACTCACTTATTCCTATGCACCAAGAGAGCCCATATCTCAAAGTAAAGGTGGCATTATTATTTTTTGTTTGTTCTTCAACAGAAAGGCATTATTAAGGTTAGGGGAAATACTTGTGCTCTGCAATATAAAAAGCCATTTATTTTCCATTTCTACTTCTCTGAATGCACAGGAACCTTGGTACGAACCTCTGTTGTCTCTGACTGTGAAATTTGGATTGTGAATGATTTCAGGGGGTAGACTGAAGATAAATCTTGGTCCATTGGCTGTGTCATCCTTGTCATCTGCACTAATTGTAACAATTGGCTGAAAGAGAAAGGTGGCCCATAAATAAATCATGCTGACATTGGCACATCATTCATTCAAAAATTCCTGGCTGGCTGAGAAGCCTGATTTTAATTAGAGAACATAGCTCCAGAGCTAAACCAGGGCTCTGAAGCCTTCTTGGGCAGTGGGAAGTATCTCCAGGTGATGCTCTCAAAGCCAAACTCTGTTTCTAAATGCTTATTCATAGCCAAGGCAGAGCAGCGTTACCTGGTTAGACAGTGGCTTGGTCTGGTCACTCTCACAGATGAAGCCTTCATAAGGGGCAGCAAACTTGGGAGCATTGTCGTTGACGTCAAGGACCCTAATGGCCACAGGGACTTTGGCTTCCTGATGCCGGTTGTCTGAAAGGATAGAATTGAGACAGTAAACATGTGCAAGGGAGGAATCCATGTTGGTCCAAGGTTACTCTTGGAAAAAAGTGAGCTCCAGCCACTCATTCAGGCCCTGCAGGGAAAGGCACTGTTGGCACAAAAATCACCTAAAATCCAAAGTATGCCAAATCCAATGTGAGGGGGATGTCCTAGAATAAAGGTCAACATTAGACCAGTAAGAAATAAACCACTTTTCCCTTTCTGTTGAGGTTTAATTCTAAATGCTTATAATGGAGACTGTCCCCCTCAGAGTGTAGTCCACAACAGTAGTTCTCAAAGTGGGATCCCCAGAGGAACATCAAACAATTTGGGAATTTGTTGGAAGTGAAAATTCTCAAACCCAACCCAAGACCTGAGTTAGAGGCTCTGAGAGTGGGATCCAGAAATCTTTGTTACAACAAGCCTTTCATGATAATCCATTGCATGATCAAGTTTGCAAACCACCGGTCTATAGGTAAAAAAGAACCCACAGATCTTGGCTCTAAGGATTCTGCTGCTCTGGGTTTAAACAAAACTGAGGATAAAGTGGGGAATCTTTCAGTGGTGGTTAAGAGTTTCAAGCTGCTACAGACTGTCAGCTCATGTGCCAAGTATGTACCCAGTTCTGCCAAAGAAAATGAAAACATCTCTATTTGCTTATATGTCTCCCTAGATAGGCAACCAAAAATAAATTTTAAAGATTGAAAAATATGTTTAAGACTAAAAAAAAAAATTGTTCTATCTCAGCTGTGTGTTATTTTCCAGAATATATAGAAAGTCTCAAGGAATAATATTTGGTAAAGTAGAATCAAAACCCTTAGGATAATACTTACGGATTTCTGCTGCAAAAACTGATATGTTGAGCCAGGCAGTTTCTTCTCTATCCAAAGGTTTTGTAGTTTTAATAAAACCATCCTCTGGATTAATAGTGAAAAACCTGTCCAGGTCAGTGTGACGATCGATTGAATACCTAAGCAGAATGCAAATGAGGCAATTAGACCAAGACATTCCAAGCAGCTTAATATTTGAATATTTTCTCCATGCTATATTTAAAGCAACTTTTTCAATGAATTGCTTGAGCTAGGTTTTCTTTTTAATCAAATTTACTTTTCAAACTTCTTACATGAATCTTTTATAGAAATCACTTTGCAACATTGGAATTCTTTATTCAGGACAATGAATGAAAGAGCTGTTTAGCATATTTGATTGAGAAATGGAATAACATGCTGCATATTTCTTCATATTTACTACAATCACCCACCATCTGAATTTATGAACCTGCATTTGGGAAGTGGGTCTGCCTTGCTTCCAAACTACTCAGAAAGTCACAAGCGTATGGAACATTTGCCAGATTTCTGCATATGAAATATTAAATAGTCTTAAGTAATCATCAAAGATCATTTACGGTACTGAAAAATCAGTTTTCTCCTTACTTAAGGGAAAATGGTAACTATATTTTGAGTAAATTTATTCAATTTATTTGGTTTTAGGGGTTCTCGGGTAGCTTGGTTCTGAATTCCATTGTGAAATATGCAAAGAGGGCTTGGCCATTCATTTGTAGAGCATTCTCCCCACACTTTAATGACCCCAGGCTGAGCCTAACAGCATAGTTGGAAGGTTTCAGCTACTCCTGTCCACTAGAAAATTTGCTTTTTTCTAACAAAAGACAAAATAATTTCCAGAATATTATGGGGCAAGGTGAGGTAGAAGATGGGTCAAGAGGAGTGGTGTAGTAAGGTAAAATAACTTGCCCAGGATAAAGTTCTGGAGACCTGGCTTTAATAAGTGTTGACAGTTGTCCCATGGCATCCATTGGGGATTGGATCCAGGACACCTGAGGATACCAAAACCCATGGATACTCAAGTCTCATATAAAATGGTGTAATATTTGCATATAACCTACACATATCCTCCTGTACACTTTATTTTTATCTCTTTTTTTTTGCGGTACACGGGCTTCTCACTGTTGTAGCCTCTCCTGTTGCGGAGCACAGGCTCCGGATGCACAGGCTCAGCGGCCATGGCTCACGGGCCTAGCCGCTCTGCGGCATGTGGGATCCTCCCGGACCGGGGCACGAACCCGTGTCCCCTGCATCGGCAGGCGGACTCTCAACCACTGCGCCACCAGGGAAGCCCCCTCCTGTACACTTTAAATCATCTAAAGATTACTAAAATACCTAATGCAATGTAAATGCCATGTAAATAGTTGCTGGTGTGCCACAAATTCAAGTTTTGCTTTTTGGAACTTTCTGGACTTTTTTTCCCCAAATATTTTGGACATGTGGTTGGTTGAATCCATTGACATGGAACCCATCAATGCAGAATGCATGGATACAGAAGGCCAACTGTACATATGTCTGAAGGCATTCATTGAGGGCCATAAAACCAAAGAATATTAGAGAATATTAGCAAAGACCATGGATGTCACAGAGTTTAATCTCTTCAATTTACAAATGGTGGGATTTGCAAATGGTCTATTATCTCGCTTCTGGGGGAGCCAGTATTAGAACATGGATCTTCCAGTTCTAGATCATGTTCTTTCCAAGGGAGAGGAATTTAGTGCAGAGCAGCACTTCGCAATATAGAAAACATGAGCTCATCCATGATATCGATGCCTTCACAGCTCCCTATGAGAATGGAATGATGAGTCCCCTTCCCCAGTGAGGAAAGAGAAGATAAACTATCACACACCTCATAAATGTCAGTAGAGGCTCAGTGACTAAACGCTCAGCAGAGCTCTATGTGAAAATAAAGAGAAAATAATAGAATATTTTTTCCCTGCCACTAGGGAGTTTCCTATCTAGTTGAAATGACAAGACGGGCTCACAGGAAGAAAGATAATTAACAAGTATTATTCTATAGAAGTGAAGCGCATGGATTTTAGTTTTGTAAAGTCCTAGGTACAAGTTCATACTTGGCTACATATATGCTGAGTGATACTGGAAAAGCCACTTAAGTTCTTTGAATTTCAGCTTACTTATCACTTAAAGTAGAATATTAATAGTAACCTAACTTTTAGGTTATCTGTGAGAATTACATAAAATGATAGATGTTGAAGATGCATAACCTAGTGCCTCACACATAGTAAACAGAACAACAAATAGAGCTGCTGTGATTTTTGTTGTTGTCGCTGCTATTACACACTGTGGATAGATCAAATGTCAGTCTACAGAGTATGACTTTCATACTATAGCCAGTGAAAAATCATGAAAGGCATTTGATCAGAGGAACAAATAAACAAATTCAGACTATCAGGGTGATGAATAAGATAGGGTGGGCAAGGTGGTCTGAGCTAGTGAGAGTGGAGGAAGGAACAGAGGAAACTTAAGGAGGTGATGTATTGATAGTTTTTAAGGAGTGAGGTGACGAGAGAGTGAGGTATAGAAGCAACAGAAGGAATGGAAGACTGTGTGATAAAGACAGAACCAGTAGGACTCAGCTGATATTTGGAGATCTGTGGGAGGCTGGGAGAGTCCTTGAGAGTTTCTAGCCTGAGTGTCGCAGAGAGGGAGACGTTGGGAAATACAAAGTCAACTTACCAGGAAGAAGAGGTTGAATTTCCACTAGGGCTATGCTGCCACACCAGGAGAGCAAGATTCAACTTTATCAGAGGCTTCACAGAGTCAGGGGTATAGTCAGTCTTCATTTTTTAAAGTATGTCACAAGAAGTATAGGCTCAAAAATATGTTTTTAATGAATGAGCCAGTGAAGGAAAAAGGAAGTGGGTAAAAATGCAGAGCAGATAGCAGAACAAGTACAGAATTAGAATCAGGGAGAAAGATCAGCCTAGAGGCAGAAAATTTAGAGCATTAACTCAATTCAATTAGTAGCATGGACGGAAACTCTATAGATAAGTGGACACAGAGAGAGAAAGTCTGAAGTGAAAGGCTGAGTGTCAGGGAGCCCCCAGTGCCTGGACTGGGATCTCAGACTACTGAAGACACCAGGTATGTCTGAGGCATGAAGAGGTTACTGCCAATGAAGCTAAGAGGAAAGAATATTTCAGGAAGGCAATGGTAAACAAAAAGGTCTCTGATGCTAGAGTCTGAGAAGAAAGCTGCAAACATTTCGAAGCAGCTAAGAGTTTGGCTGACACTATAAGGCCCTCCTACCCATATGTTTAAGAACACAAATGTCCTTAAAGGTGACGATAAGCACTCAGGAAAGTAGGTAGTCTGGCTAGGAGACCCACTGAATAAAAACCTTTAAATGTTATTCTATGAATTGTTTGGCAGTTCTAAGAATGAGGACCTGAGTGGGTGAGGGGAGTTGGTTCAAGGGCCATAGTGAGCATCTTTGGATAATTATAGACATGAAAAATGGCTCCATGCACAGAATAGCTTCCACTGAAAATATGACCCAAATAACCAATCACAGATGTGGATCCTTGGAGATAACGAGGTGTCAAGGAAATGAGCAGCTGTTCCATGTGTTTTTACGTCATCACTCTTCTAAAAAGCTGCTAATGCACCTTGATATTCTAGGCTAAAGCTAACTCATTTAAAATTCACACCATGAACATTTTTGAGTAGTTTAAAGGTGTTACCAAGTTCCTCAGTCGTTACCTGATGTATCTTCTTGCACAGAGAGCACGGTACTCAAACCTTCCTGGGAAATCTTTCCATCAGTGGCTGCCCAGCGAGAGTAAACCGCTCATAGTGGACTCAAGGCAGCTCTGGACTAAAATCCAGTCTCCAATACTGACTGTTCATGTGACTTTGGGTAATTCACATCATCTCTTTGAGCCTCAGTATTTCCATCTATTGGACCCTAAAGTGATCACAGCCTCAAGGGTGTCTGAGGATTAACTTAAATAACTTAGTGCAGGGTCGTCTGGGGCCAAGAAGATGCTCAATAAAGGGTAATTTCCTTCCTTTCTCCCCAAAGGGGCAATGTTCAAAGACTTAAAGGCAGCTGAACAGCATTTGCATTTGGGACTTCCTTCTGCTCTGTCAGCATTTTCTTTGGTATAAATAGAAAAACTCCATTGTCCATGGCAATTTTTTTCATACTCAGATCTATTTACTTTTCTTCTCAGCTTTATTGAAATATGATTGACAATAAAAAAGTCTGTATTTAATGTGTACAACATGATGTTTTAATATAAGTATACCTTGTGTAATGATTACCGTAATCAAGCTAATTAACATAGCCACTGCCTCACACAGCAACCATTTCCTGTGTGTGTGTGTGTGTGTGTGTGTGTGTGTGTGTGTGTGGTGAGAACACTTAAGATCTACTCTCTTTGCAAATTTCAAGTCTACAGTACATTATTATTAACTATAGTTACCATGCTGACCAATATCTCCTCATTTTCCCCACTCCCTAGCCCCTGGCAACCAGTGTTCTACTCTCTGTTTCTATAAGTCAGACTTTTTTAGATTCCACATATGAGTGATATGCTATATTTGTCTTTCTGAGTCTGGCTTATTTCATTTAGCACAGTATCCTCCAAATTCACATATGTTATCACCAATGGCAGGATTTTCCTTTTTCAGGCTAAATAATAGTCTGTTTTATATATATAATATACACATATATATGTGTGTATATATATATATATATATATATATATCTCACTATTTCTTAATCCATTCGTCTGTCGACGAACATTTAGATTGTTTCCATATCTTGGCTGTTGTGAATAATGCTGCATTGAACACGAGAGTGCAGATACCTGTTCAAGATGCAGCCATTATGGAAAGCAGTATAGAGATCCCTCAAAATGTAGATGGAGGCTGGATTTGTTCTGTGGGCTGTAGCTTATTAACCCCTGACCTAGACAGACACACCCCTGGCCCTCTTTGACTGTGCCAGGGACAACACAGTGTAAGCTGTCATTGTGATGTATGGTGAGAGCTGTGAGGTGGAAGCTGCATTTGATCCATCTTAGGGTGCCCTGGAAGAATTCCTAGAGGAGGTGGCACCTAAGTGGAGGTGGGAAAAATGAGTACCATGTAGCAAGCTGGAAAGGATGAGAGTGAGATCTCCAACCAGAAGGAAGAACACACAAAGGTCAGGAATTAGAAGAGGACAGGAAGTAGCCCAGTCTAGCTGCAACTGAGAGTCTGATGAGAAGGGAGAGTAAGACAAAAAGCAGGAGACCAGCAGGACACAGCAGGAACTGGGGGGGAGGGGCTCGAAGAAGAGCCTTAAGCCAAGTAAGAGAATTGAGACTATTTTGGAGTAGGGGCCAATGAGAAACAATGTGATCAATGATTATTTTTGTCATTGTTGCTGTTTAACTGAAGTATGATGTGATGTTTGGATGTGCATTTTAAAACAATCAGTCTGGCTACAGGATGACGGAAAGGTAGGTGGGAGATCGGGGGCAGGGGGACCATGAGGAGGCCAAGGAAGGAATCTAGGCAAGAAGGGAATTAGGGGAGTGGACATGGAAAAAAAAAAACCTGCTAGAATCCAGTCCAGGGCAGGTTTCAGCCAACTTTACATTTCTGCCCTATATGGACATGCCTTGAATCTGTGACTCAAGCCTCCTTCTCAGCCTCTTTCTCATCACCCTCTCATCTTCATCGTCAATCTCATTGGTTATTAGCTCAGGTTGGGGAGCGGGGGAGGCAGGGTTCTGAATGGCTTTTCTAGCTTTCTTGTCTAAGTCACAAAAGTATATTTGTGATAATAAAAGCATCCTAAATTTGAGGGGCACTTTGTTATCTCTTCAAAGTGCTCAGCAGTTAGATAGATAGACAGGGCTTGCCTTCTGAGCCTCCGGTTCACTGTCTGTGTCTCTTTGGTTAAGTCACTTTGCCCTGCAGAGCCCCAGTTTCCTCTTAATTTAAGAGATAATAATTCCTAGAAAATAACGTTGAGGGGATAAATTGGATTATATATCTGACACCCCTAGTACAGTAACTGGAGCATAGGAAGGTGTTCAATAAATTAGAATTACTGTTATTATTTCACAATCATTATTTATACTTCATCACAGTTCTCTGAGACAGGCAAAGCTTAGGGTTACATCGCCTAGTATACATTGGGAAATCTGCTCCAGAAATTCTGGAGCTTGAACAAGTCTATCCAAAGAGTTGGTGCAGAGGTGGAGTAGAACTCATGTCTTCTAAGTCTTCATCTTGTTTACACTGAATGATATCTTGGACCTTTTTTGAGACTGAAGGACCTGGCTCCTATAGGGATTTCCTAAAATCTCTTGCCTCTGGAATTCCCCATCCAGGCTTTAAAAATAAATTTCTCTGTACCTTATCGGGCTATTGGCAGCATCAGGGTCTTTGGCATGCACTCTCCCCACCACAGTGCCAGCAGCTGCATTTTCTTGGACTTCGTGGATATAACTCGGGGCCAAGAACATGGGGGGCTCATCAGCATCTTCCACTGCAATCTTGACCGTCACAGTGTCTTTGAAAGGCCCGTTGCTGATGAACTTTGGGTCGATGTGCACGTTGGCTGCCTCTACCTTCAAGCTGTATGCTCTTTTGGTTTCAAAATCTACAGGCTGGCAAGAAAGAAGAGAAGACTGACAACAAATTCCTTGAAAGAATAATGGAAAAGAAAAACCTGATCGTTTTATAGGGCACCATGAATAGTTGTTCAAAGAGAGAAAATCAGTGTTTATTCAATATCCAATTACCTGAGCCATTTGGTTAGAAAATCAGACAAATCAATTGCTGAAACTTGGAATGTGCTTAATGGGTAATTCTAGGAGCATGACAGACACAGAAGGACCACATCATCGAAAGTGAACCACATTCTATGAACACACTAAGGCTGCCCAATTCAGTCACTAAAATCATTTAAGGAAAGGAATTAAGACTTTACAAAAATAAATGTTATAGCCCTGAAAAGTACTAAGAATCTTGGTAATAAAAATAGTCAATGAATTTCAGGCAAAGAAAAAGCAATGTCTTGTTAGATGACTGCTCCCCTCCACACATACACACTTCTGGCTTAATCATATTGATAGTCTCATTTTTAAAGTTTCTGACCATGTAGCATTTCTCAAAGTCTGGGACCCTTACCAGCAGTGACCCATACACTGACTTAAGGTGGTTTATGGGTAATTTTGTGTGGGTGGGTTTTTGAATGACATTATCCTAATTACTGATCCTATTATTTCTTTTCCAATTCTTCCATTCCCAAACACGTCAAGGACATCTCAGTATACTGCTAACTTTTAACATTCCTGTTATGCTTCCTGATCTCCCTTTCAAGAGGCTATGATATAACTCTCTAGCTAGAATGTAATGACAGCGTTTTGTTTTGACTGCATTCATTTTTAGGTTACCTCCTACTTATGGCAAGTGATATAGTACAGTGTGAATACTTCCCTGTTAAAAGAATACATATATGTAAAACAAGTCCATTTAAAGAAAAACAATTATAAACAATATAGATTTTACACAGACGTGAAAAAATATTAAGAAGCAGCATTTGAATGGCTGTCATTATTAAGAAATTGATGGTAAGCACTCCCTAAATCTGAAGGAGACAAGGTTCCATGAATCAATCAGTAAAGGGTGACAAGTAAAATTATAGAAGAGAAACAAGCCTTCCTGCCTAGGAAACAGAACTTTCTAATTAGCGCTCTGGATGATACTGAACTCCCAAATGTTTGGAAAGAGTTGGGTCTTTTAAGGCTAGCATCTGCCTGCCATGTTGTCATCATGTGCCTGGTATTATTTTGAACGGGCATATAATCTTAGGGCTCAGTCCTAGCCTAATTCTCCAGCACTCTAAACCGAGGGTGATTCCAGTTTCAGGAAGGTTAAACGCACTCAACACCCTTGACACCTTCTCCATCATTTTCCACCCCCATCTCCCCAGAGTCAGAGAACACTCCCTTTTCCTGAAGCAAAATGTGTCACCAGCTGCTCCGTCATTCCGAACTCAGCAGCATCTTTGTCCTTTACTGGGTTACTGAGCAGCAGAAAGAAATGATATTTATAGGCTGAAGGTATGAGACTGCTGCAATTCCTCAAAAATCTCTGCGATTATTAGACAAAATTAAAACATGAATATGATATTCTGAGACCAGGTAAGAAGAAAATTTCTGATCTCAGATAGCCTGTTGATTCTCCTAGAACAGAAAGTTTTGAACTTGGCTTAGACATATACCTAAGGACCCAGAGCATTGTTTCCACTGGAAAGCCTTGTTGTTGTTGAAGCCAGTATAGTCATGCTGCAGTTTGACTGATACTTTTTGAATCTCAAGCGAAGGTCCCCAGATCTTTGCAAGTGTTTGTCTGTTTCCTAGTTTGGTGAGGCTTTACTGTCTTCTGGTGCTCATCTCAGGCTTGTGAAGTCCTCCCCATCTCCCCCAGACAGATTTGTGTGGCCCCTTAGTTGCCCATCTGCAGTCCCTCATCCCCCACCCCAGCTAGGTGAGGAGCATCCCAAAGGACTCTACTGAGTCTTGTTGATCTTTGCCTCCCCAATGCCCAGTAATGACCATACCAAGTGATCACATGTACCAATCATTGCGACTGAATGGGAAGCAGAGTTGATGGATGGACAACATTTAAGCATTTGCCTACAATTTATTCCCTGCCTCCTTCCAAAAGGGATTTAAAGTAGTTTCCCATGTGAACCTTTATATCCACGTTATGAGTAGTTGAAATAAAGCTAAATGAGGCAACATACTACATAAGCCATAAAAATCTCAATACCCCTGAGTTTACTAATCCCACCTCTAAAAATTCTCCCTGGGGGATTAATTCAACAGAAAACCCAAACAAACAATATTCAAAAATGCATGATGTTTAGATATCACAGAGGGAACAATATTCAAAAATGCATGATGTGGGCTTCCATGGTGGCGCAGTGGTTGAGAGTCCGCCTGCCGATACAGGGGACGCGGGTTCGTGCCCCGGTCCGGGAAGATCCCACATACCGCGGAGCGGCTGGGCCCGTGAGCCATGGCCGCTGACCCTGTGCGTCCGGAGCCTGTGCTCCGCAACGGGAGAGGCCACAGCAGTAAGAGGCCCGCGTACCAAAAAAAAAAAAAAAAAAAAAAGCATGATGTTTAGATATCATAGAGGGGTTATATTTAATCATGGGAAACGTACACACAAAACACCAAATCCAACTGTGAGATTTTATTAAGGAAATAATGGTCCATCAATAGGATGGGATGTTATGTAGTCATTAAAAATAATTATGTATATTATATAGCAGCATGTAAAATGTTTATGATGTGCCATTAAGTTAACAAATCAGATCACCCTATGACTGCAACTGTTTTAAATGTTACATATCCACATCTATATACATGTGGACAGAGAATATAAAGAAATAATCAGGCATAAAAGTGGCTTTATTAAAATTATTATTTAAAAAATATTTTAAATGCCTTCTAATGCTGTTCTCACACTGCTTTACAGGCAGTTTATTTGTTTGAAAGTAAATACCTCAGAAACTGTGCCAGGATCTCTCAGTGATAATTGGAGTCCCACTCAGTCAAAGGTGCTGCACGATTGGATTTTCCTCCCCAAGTCTACCAAGCCACCTACAAGTCTCATCTTTATTTTGCTAACCACACAGAGATTGTCTCAGTATCCTGAAGGCAGCTTCTCTCTCTCATGCACCATTATAATCTTGACACCTACTGTGTCTGACACAGAGTACTCAAGAAATATTTATTGCTTTCTAAGCTCTTCAATAAATGAATGACGCTAGCTCCTAAATAACTCTTGAATTCTTCACCTTTACCTCTTCTGCCTTCTTCAGGTCTTTGTAATTCCTCCCTTGCATTCCAACAAGATTTCTTCAACTGGTCCCACTGTATCCATCTCAAAACCCTCAAGACTGAACTTATGCAAGTTTCTTAACTGTGTCCTATTTCCCTCAACACCAGTCCTTCATGAGCTCATTTTCTCTGACCTTCCTCTCCTTATCTATCTGGTAATTTCCTATTCATCTATGAAGGCTCAGCTCTAGAACTGCCCCCTGTAAGCAGTCATTCATGACCCATAGTCACAGATCGTATCATACTTTATCACAGTTGCTTCTCAGCTGGGGAGTGATTTTGCTGTACCTCACCCCAGGTATGTTAGGTAATGTCTAGAGCTATTTTTAGTATCACAACTGGTGGGGCTGGATGTGTGCTTACTGACATCTAGTGAGGAGAGGCCAGGGATGTTGCTAATCACCATACAATGCACAGCCCTGCCCCTACAGCAAAGAATTCTCTGTCCTGAAATGTTAATAGTGTCAAGGCTGGGAAAACCCCCTCTATGTTAATTGTCTTTTTGCTTTTAACTGTCCTGTTAAATTGTGATCTTGTGACCAGGACTCTGTTTCTTCAGTTTTAGATGTCCAGCCTCTCACAAAGGGTGTGCCTGACCAATAATAATAACTCAATAACTCTTGGTAGAAAAACGTTGAATGAATTAAGGAATAAGTGAAAAAACTATATTAAAAATATTTTTTAAAGACAAAAATATTTTCACGGATCTCTCTATATCTTTTTCTATTATTAAATCATATATATAATGATTTCTATAAGGATCCATCATTTTACTCTATTAAATTCACCTCTCCATATTTTTTCCTGCTGGACAGCTGGAACTTTGTGTTATAAGCTTAAGCAAACGTTCTTTTACAAATTAAAGAACATCTTACTCTGTTTTGAACCTAAACATCAGTGCTTTATAGAAGATTATTCCTTTGCCCAGAAGAAACACATTGAATTGGGGGAAAATGTGCAAATTAATCATATGCAGAGAGCTCACGTGCGATGTGTTAGTTCCACGGGGTGATTTACATGTTTCAGATTTTAGAGACACAGTGTGTGTTTACACCCTGAATACACTGAAAACAGGTGACAACCTAAGCATAACCAACTACCCAATTACTTGAACAGCAAAGGATGGGAAGCAGGAATTGCTGATGTCACTGCTCATATGTCAGTGGCAAGCAGGAGGGACGGAAATGTTAACTAACAAAGCCAGTTGACAGCTCTATGCTACACATAGTCACACAGCTACTTTTCCAGAGCAGAAACCAGAAGTGATTACCCCAGCCCCTTGTGGCTGGTGATTAGGCTTCTGTGGCTACACCATTCGTCATCACTAATGTTGACTTTTCCAAGTGTCCAGAGTTCACCCCGACTTCCATATTCTTTTATGACAGAGTCACTTCTACTTTCTCTTTGTTTGGGTCCCCTCAGATTTCCCCCAAACCTAACAATGCTTCCTTATGCTGTGAAAAGTCAGCTTCCTAGAACATCTCTCTCCCTGCTCTCCTTACTGAAAGATTCCTCCCAGGCATCTCCCTCTACCCCGCCCTTGCCTCCTCTCCAGCCACTGGCCTCTTTATTGATTCTTCAAATTAATTTTTTTTATCAGTGTTCCAGGCCAATCTTTTCCATCACACCAAAGAGCTTAATATTCATGTTACAAAACCAAGTTGAAAATGAATACTTGATTAAAACCAAGGTGATCCCATCATCCAATTCAGATTTAATACTCCATATACTTTGATGATGGAGAAATGTTGATTTCTCAAGTGGTAAATCAGGGGTAAAACTGTTTTAGAATGTACTGTAACTGTTTCTTTACCTGAAAGTGAATCAAATCTGGCTCTCTTCTATAACCCCTTTCTGGTCCGTCTATTTGCAAAATGTCTTGAGTGGGAAGATGTTCTAGAATACACTAAGTTTGAATTCCATGTCTTTAAATTACTAGCTGTGTGATTACAACCGGGTCAAATTATTTAATCTGTCTGAGCCCCAATCTCCTCATAATTAAACTGAGGTATCATTGCTGACTGGGATAATAACATCTACTTTATATGATTTTTATCATGTAAAATAAATGAATGCTTATAAGAGGCTCAGGCTTTGGCCAATATTTAGAATTGAGTAAATGTTAGATTTTTTTTAAACCAAACAAGAACAAGCAATAATCTCATTTTTGTAGTGAATTAATCTCAGGGACACATTTTTAGCAACAATTTAGCTGACTATGAGGGAAGGCCCATTATTATTGCTTCTCAGGTTCAATTTTGAGGGAAAATCAAGCAGAGGTTTGGTTTAAGTTTCATAGAAGGCCCAGCAATGTAATGGACCTTGGATGTTTGAGATAAGAAAAGTTCCAAAGAGCCTATATTAACAGACTCAGCTTGGCAGAGCTAAAGAGGGAACTTCATGTATGCTCAGGGCTGTCTGTCCAAAATCTAGATTTATCTAGCTATCTTTCTTTCCATGGGGAAACTGTGCCAAGTCACATAAGAACTAACCAGCAATCTCAGGGCAGGTATTATCACTCCCCCTTCTTTTTTTTCCAGTTTTATTGAGATATAATTTACATACAGCACTGTCTAAGTTTAAGGTGTATAGCATAACAATTGGACTTTCATACATCAGGAAATTATTACCACAATAAGTTTAGTGAACATTCATCATCTCATATAGATACAAAAGAAAAAGAAAAAGAATTTCCTTTTGATGAGCTCTCTAAGGATTCACTCTCTGAACAACTTTCATATATAACATACAGCAGTGTTAATTATATTAATCACAGTGTACATTGCATCCCTGGACTTATTTATCTTATAACTGGAAGTCTGTGCCTTTTGACCCCCTTCATCCAACTTCCCCTCCCCCCACCCCCCACTTCTGGCAACCACATATCTGATCTCTTTTTCCTGAGTCTATTTGTTTGCTTGTTTTTGAAGGATAATTGACCTACAATACCATCCTAGTTCCTGGTGCACAACATAGTGATTTGATATTTCTATATATTTCAAAATAGTAAGTCTAGTTGTCATCTGTCACCATACCAAGATATTACATTATTATTGACTATACTCCCCAAATCATACAAAAACTAACCATCAAACTCAGGCAGGCATCATTGGCCCCTTCTGCCAGCTTCCTCTGGAATACAGTTCTGTTATCTCCCCAAAGCTCGGAGTTTAACTGCAGAGTCAGGTCCAGCCCTCAGTTGTCCATATTCTCCTTTCTTTAGCCTTCAACTCCCTGTTTCCAACAGCGGTGCCTCGGCAAGGCAGGCCACAGCACTGCCACATCTGATTCCTCACCCTAACTCACCTTTTTCAGTTTCACCACACCCTCCTGTGTTTCATAGTCCGTTGTGATTTCAAACAATTCCATCCCATCTCCATCAACTATATTGTATGTGACTAAGCCATTTTCTCCAATGTCTGGGTCTTTAGCCTTCACTCTTCCCACTTCCTCCCCGGGTACAGCTGCTTCTGACACAGACATCTGGTATACGCCTAGAAGAAGAAGACATCTATTTTTATTTTCCCTTTTATTTGGCAGCTGTAAGACTTTAGATTTCATTGAATCTCAATAAATTTCTCAAAGGGTTTGACATTGAACTTTCTATTGATTGAAAACATGAAAGAAGTGAATGGATGGGAGGAGGACGCCACATGGCTTGCTTGTCAAAGAAATGTTTTCTGCAAAGGATGATGAAACAATATCAGGGTCCAGGGTGGTAGGGTGGGGTCACCCGTCACATGTGAGAGAGGAAAACAATGCCCAGTTACATTTCCCATCAGGAACTGATGGAGAGCCATGTATATCTCCACACATTCAAAAAAATCAAAACTTCTTTTTACGTCTTTGTTAATTCTAAGTGTAAGTTAATTCTAAGGCGCACATGTGGCACTGCCAGGTGCCCAGAAAAAGAACACCCTTCCCTGTTTAAAAGCCTTCCGTAGCTCCATATTTATTTTAAAGTCAAATGCAAGTTGTATCCTTCATGGTCATGATCCTTCCAGCTGTATATCTGACTCTTCTTACTTTACCTCCTTCACCATTCGATTAACTGATACCTTATATGGAAAAGCTTCTCACTGGGCCAGACAAATCATGTGAATACCTGGGGATAAAAATTATAAACAAAGCAAACAGCAAATTGCAGAAACCCCTGAAGTGGGAACACAGTGAATACATACAGAACAGCAAGACCACAAGTGTGACTGCAGCCTTCTGGTAGGAGGTAAGGGTATATAGGGAGGCTGGGGCCCAACTGTGCACAAAGGGCATTGCAGGAGATGGAAAAGACTTCAGGTTTTCCTTAAACTTGGTGGGAAGCCACTGAAAGGTTTTCAGTAGAGAAGTGAGATTTGAGATAATCTTATTTGCATTATCACAATTCAGAAATATTCTCTGCGAAACAACGTAGAGAAGCAAGGGTTGGAAACCTGGCCTCTACCACTTTTAAGCCAAGTGGTCTTGAGCAAGTTACTTAAGCTCTTTAAGCTTTAGTTTCCCCTTATGTGGATTTTATCAGTTCTAATACTCTGTCTGCATTTATCTATTGGGTTGGCCAGAAAGTTCGTTTGGGTTTTTCCATAACATCTTTTAGAAAAATCTGAATGAACTTTTCGGCCAACCCAATATATTGTTTGGCTGTGAATACTTTCGGTTCAGACCCATATTTAACTTAAACACACCATGCCCTCCATGATAGAGGACAAGTAGGAGGTGGGAGTCTCTGCAGATAATTACCAGTTTACATGAAGGTTTAGAAAAACCTACTCCCAGTCTTCGTCAAGTTCATAGCTGTAAACCTGGTATCTTCACAGTAGTGATGTAACTTTACCCTATGATTGTACGTGAGCAAGGGCATTAATCACTACCTGCCAATAGTCCTGCATGGCCTTTTGCATCCAGCATACCAGCCAGCTTTAGAGTGGATAACGGAGCATGCAGTTTCTTAAGGCTTACGCTTATTGGAGATGCTGAACCTTGTGGCTGACCAGGCAAGGCAGTCTTCAACTCTTTGGTGACTTTATGAGAACTGGCTGTTGCCTTGTAATCCTCTATCTCAATATCTCCCTTGCATAGATTGTTGTCTTTGGATTCCTTTGAGTGACCATGCATGGTGCCTTTCTGGGGCCCTACTTGGTGGCCTTCCCTGTTCTCTCATTTATAAAAAGTGCCATCTCTCTGGCAATAAACTCACAGTCTCTACCAGCTACTCTCCTCATTAATGAAGAAGACACTTTCATGGTGAACTCCCCGTGAACTAGCAGCGGCAGCATCATTACGATCACACTGTACCTCTGTCTATACTTATAATGTACACATAACCAGATTTGTGTACAAAATCTGGCTTTGCCATATCCTTCAGGCAAGTTACTGCACCCTTCATGGAACTCAGTTTTATCTGTAAAATGGAGGCTCTTGTAGAGATCTGTAATAGTAGTAACTATTCATTAAAGGATGGTAGTTGTTGTAATTATAATGATTAATAATGACCTTTCAAATCATTTTTTCTTTTATTTCCTGTTGCAAGCCTATCAGTTTTGTAGAAGGACCATAATCCCCTAGATAATACTGGTAATAATGGCTAACATTTGTTGACAACTTATGCCAGATAACATTGTAAGATTTTACACTAGCTCATTTAGTTCTAACAACATCCTATTAATTGAGCCCTGTGGAAGATTGTATTTTGCAAAAATAGTCCAAACAGTATCTCCAAGCCCACATGCTTTTCTTTCAACGTGACTTTAACAGTCCTTCCCTTGAAAGGTGGGGTCTACAAGAACTCCACTTACATTTGGGCAGTCTTATGACTACAGTAGAAATGATGCTATGAGATTTCTGAAGCTAGGTCACAATACGCAATACAGTTTCTGCTTGGTGTCCTTGGGGCTCTCTTCACTTTTAGAACCTATCCAAGCCACTCCTTTGAGGCTGATATGAAGGGGAACCAACAGCCAACAGTAACTTGCCAGCCATGTGACTGAGCCATCTTGGAAGTAGATCTTCCAGCCCCAAACTGTGCCAGTTGATGCTATGGAAACAGAAACAAGCTGCCTCCTTCAGGTTTTGCCCAAATTGCAAACTCATGACAAAAATAAATGATTATAATTGTTTTAAACCACAAGATTTGGGGCAGTTTGTTAGGTAGCAATAGATAACTGATTCAGGTACTATTACATATCCAGGTTAGAAATGAGAACACTGAGACAGAGAAAGGTTAATTAATTACTACATCACATCATGAACACCTAGCAAAATGGATTTTCTGTTCCCAGGGTTGTAGAACATTTTATGTCTCCACTTTCTCCCACTACCTCTCCTCCACTTAAGTTTTTTGTTGTCGTTACTCCACTTAAGTTCTTTGTTGTCCTCCACTTAAGTTTTTTATTGTCTTGTTTTTTGCAAGAATGATATAAAGAGCCTCCATTTGTCTAGATTTCTTCTGGAAAGTTGAGTACAGCAGGAATGGGTCAGAGAAGAGTTGGCTGTGGCACCATTGGAAAGTGAAAGCCAAGCCCACCTACTTACTCTGTGGAAACTTTGGTGGGTTGTCATTGACATCAGTCAGTGTGATCGTCACTTTGGTTGTCCCTGAGAGTCCACCCATGTGTCCACCCATGTCCTTGGCCTGGATCACCACGTGGTACTCCTCCTTAGCTTCCCTGTCCATATTGGGAAGGGCTGTTCTGATGATACCTGGACAGGTGAGCAGGGAACATCACAGATATTCATTGATAACATTATAACAAAAACGATCTAGGCACAGGGGAAGCAAAGATGAATAGAACAGCATCTGCCCTCACAGAAGAGTCACTCAAACATGGCAGTTATCATCAAAAGTAGCCATACCTGGAGCATCATGTAGATATATTTTCTAGCAAATTGTCATAATTATTAATATAGCATTAAAATTTTATGTTTCATATGTTGTACTGTAAATGCAAGTAATAACCTCACCCTTCTCAGGTGTGACACTTAAAGATCCTAAAGACTGATATATTTGAGGACGCACTGCATGAACATCAGTAACAAACCCATGCTTTTGGACTGCCAGCAGAATCTTTTGACTATCTATGCCTGCGTGCAATTCTTAGAAACATTTCTATGGTCCATATTAAGTTAAAAGTAGAAGGCGATATATTAAAATGTTAATATTAATTTTTTTTAAGTGTATACCAAATGGGTTAAAAATATATACAATGCTTATACAAACACACACTATCTACTATCCGCTATCACTGGAAACAATGATACGTTAGTAATTGAATTCTACATCATCTCTGGATATTAGCACATTATTGGTGTGGAAACCATGCTCACTTAAATCTTTTGGGAACATATTCAAGCTTTTTCTGTCTGTAGATATGGTAACATTTATACTGGAAATATAAGAGAGTGCTGTGGAAGCTTTAAGCCCTTATCCTTTTCTGACCCTGACGTTTGTATGTTTCTCAGCAACATCCTTGAACTCACTGAGCCTCGTTTTTCTTGTCTGTTAAACAATTTGGTGGGTTCAAATGGGTGGTTCTTAACTATGAGTCCCTGAGACACGAAAGTTGCAACTGGAGTCCTTCCAGCGATTTTAACATCTCAAAAATCCATATGAAATCCCACATTTATCCTTGGTTAATCTGAAAATTAATTGGCAAAATTAATTGGTAAATGCCTTTGATGAAATCATAGCAAGTAGCCCCATAAATTGTGATCTGAAGCAAAGAGGCTACAAATAAATGATTACATAGGTAAGTGGAAGTTATATTCAATAAGTGGGCAAAGTATCTGATTGGCAGGCTATATATATACATATAAACATATATATTTGATAAATTTTAACTATAATAATAAAAGCGGATTGTTTGTAAACATCTTTCAAACACATGGGGGTATATTGTGGAAAAAAAGAAATGAGTTTGGGGTATAATATCGTGGACTAGCAGGTTCACAGGACTTTAGTGTTTATTCTAATAAAAGGATCCTAGGATCAAATTTGGTACAAATGGAGTGAAACATTTTGGCGTGGGTTTTGGTTGTTTGTATTTGTTCACTCTTTCGGTTTGCTGTTTGTTTTCTGTATGGAATTTGCAGAGCCTCCTTCTTGGATGCTAACGCCGCTGGGAATCTAAGCACAGTGGAGGAGGTTGGGGATATGCCTCCTCCCAGACACACGTTAGCATCAGTTCCCACCCCCACCATCCCCAGCCCTGGCTTTGAGAGCTGCCAGTTTTCATACCAGTCTTCAAGTCCTGTGGTCTCTTAATTTGGATCCACAGTTGAATTTTATGATAAAACATACTTTAAGATAAATTCTTAAGTTGAATTTTAAGATCTGATTTTAAGAGAAAAGTTGCATCTAAGATTATATTTATTACTGTGACACGGTGCAATACAGACAGTATCTAATCCTCACAATAGTCTTGTTAGGTGGCCCTTTTTATATTTTAGAAAACTAGGACTCAAATAAGTTTTAGTGAGCAGGCCTGGACTCCTTATTCACAATGTGTCGCAAATCGCAATGCCATTCCACGGTACCTGTCTGTGCTTCGACTGAAAAGTAGGGTTGTCCTTCCAGGATACTGTACACTAACTTGGCACTGTTTCCGTAGGTGGGGTCGTCTGCGTCTGAAGCTGTCACCTGGATTACTGATGTTCCTTAAAAGTGAAATACAGTCATTAGCAACAGTCCCTCAGCTTTTCAAATTATATTCTAGTTTGCAAAGTTTTATCTTAAGATTAAAAACTGAGGAGAGCCCCAAAATTATTCAACATGCTTTCATTTTCCGGGGTTGAGATGCAAAAATAACCTCCTTCCCTCCCTCTCTCCCTTCCTTTTTGTTTAATTCCCATAGCTTAAAAATGAATTTTCTATATTCATAGTACATCCTGCTATACTTAGTAGTTAAAATAATAATATGAACATTATTGCAAAAACATTCTAAGACCCATGCAACTGGAATGTTCAGTATATCAAATAATTAAATAAAAATCTTCCCAAATAGTATAATAAAGGATAATTAATGATGAATTGCTTTTCTTGAAAGGACAGAGTGCAGTCCTCCATCTGTAGCAGAGCAATAAATACATCATTTTATTGTTGCTTTGCATGTAATAAAATGGCTGCTAATACTACATTTTAATTAATTGATGGCTATAAATATTGTACAGAATGTTGTTCCCTACTGGCATGAAAATTGCATCTTCCCATCTCTAACAGGTCTGGCAGTCATATAACAGAAACCACCAGTAGACATCTGGTGAGATCTAAGGCAAGCATTTGTGGGTCGCAATGGAAGGAAACCAGGGAATTGAAGGAAGATGGGATTCAGTTTTTCCTAGAAAAAACCTCTGTTCCCTGATGGTCACAAGTATCTGAGGGCATGAAATGCTGGGCTTCAGAATGGGGCAGGGGAGATGCTCAAGGGAGAGAGCTGGTTATGATAGAATTCCTCTGTGCCAGGCATTGTTTGGGGCATGTTCCATGTATTCTGCCCCTCTGCTGGGTGTTTTTACATTCACTGTGCTTGTGAGGTACTTAGTATGACAGGTAGGAAGTTTTGCAACCTATTTTTCAGAGTGGGTTATTGCCAGAGTCAGGAGTCTAACCTCTACCCAGCAAACAACCAAACCCAAGTGCTTTCCGAGACAGTTTCAGCAGAGGGGCCAGGTTCTATGTGAAAGGCAAGGGAGTCCATTTACACAGCCTCTGACAACCCTTTAATTTACAAGGCTGTCAGTGATTTTCACATGGCATAAAAATAAATCTCACTTTTTTTTCTGTAATTCATTTTTTCGTACAAATAACTTTTTTCTGAGCATTTCCCACATAACTAGGCACTATTCTAAGTAGTGGAGATTTATAAGGGAGTTAATAAGCTCTATTCTCTACCTTCATGGTAGAGCTAGGGAAAGTATTATTTTTTATGCTTCGAGGAATCCACTAAGTTCATCACAACTCTTTGTATTTTACATCTATGTTGTTTAACTCGCATTAGAGTTTACATTATCCTCATTGTATAGATGACAAAACAAAAACTGAGAAAGATGTAAGATGTTGTCTGGGTTGACCTGGCTGGTCAGAGGCACAGCCATGATTCTAACCCAGTGCTGTCTGGCAGCAGACTCTACTCTCATAGGCCATGATGCAAAGTCTGATGTTACTCCTTAAGCACCAAGCTGCCCCAAGAGGTGGGATCAATGAAAATTCCCCTAGAGCATCATGTATGATGGCTGGCCTTTGTCCCCTGGCTCAGCTGCTGACACTGCTGTCCCCTATTTACTGATTTATTTGATGTCTGCTATTTCTCATTAAAGTCCCCAGGTGAATACTGAGAAACTAAAGAATTGGGCAGGGCAAAGGGAAGAGAAGAAGGCAGAAAAGGCTCAGCTGGGTTTTCATAAAGTATGAGAAGGGTTTGACTTTAGCTGGAGGAGAAGAAGGGGACAATTTTTTTTAGCATCAAAAGTTCTATATGCAGAATGGAAGGAGCTTAGAGTTGTAGAGTCATTTCTGTATCTAACACTCTTGAGCAAACTGATTCCCAATCTTGATGCTTAGTTTCCTCATCTGTAAAATGGCCCTGATGATCCTTACGTTCATGGGAACTTTATTATTTTTTTTAAATGTATTTATTTATTTTTGGTTGCATTGGGTCTTCGTTGCTGTGCACAGGCTTTCTCTAGTTGCAGCGAGCGGGGGCTACTCTTCATTGTGGTGTGCAGGTTTCTCATTGCGGTGGCTTCTCTTGTTCTGGAGCACGGGCTCTAGGCGTACGGGCTTCAGTAGCTGTGGCATGCGGGCTCAGTAGTTGTGGCTCGCGGGCTCTAGAGCACAGGCTCAGTAGTTGTGGCACACGGGCTTAGTTGCTCCGTGGCATGTGGGATCTTCCCTGACCAGGGCTCAAACCCGTGTCCCCTGCATTGGCAGGCGGATTCTCAACCACTGCGCCACCAGGGAAGTCCTCATGGGAACTTTAAATCTCTGATTCGCGTAAGCATGCTCACTCCCTGATTAGTACAGCTCTGATCATTGTCTGAAAAACAAATCCTTCTTAATATGAGGCATGCTTCTCAAAAGACCACAACTACATGCATTCTATAAAGCCAAACAAAGGTTACTGCCAGGAGAAGGTAGCTAGTTGAATAAATCATTCACAGAATTGTCCTCTAACAATGTGATGTGTCTTTATGCATGATAAAAGACATAGCTGCTTCTGAATTATTCTAACAGGTGATGACATAGTGTCATGGTTAGATATATATTCTGGATTGACTTAATAGCTCAGATGACCTTGAATAAATTCATTAACCTGTTTCTAGCTTGGGTTTCCCATCTGCAAAATATTTTCAATAGGACCTACCTCGTTGCAAAGATGAGTCACTGCCAAGATTAAATGCAATACTGCATGTAAATCATTAATTAGCATGGTGCCTACATGGCACAAATACTGCTATTACTTATTGAACACCAACATGCACTAGTGACCAGATGTATGTTATTTCTAATCCTGCATGATTAGAAACTTTTATCCCCGTTTTACAGAGGAGAAACTCAGGCTAAGAGAACAGATGCAACTGATTCCCAGTCACAAGGTTAATAAGCACCAGGGCCAGGATGACATGGATTTGATTACGTCTTTCCTACTCTTCCACACCTCCTCATATTTTGTAAGCTTAGAGTTTAAAACCTCAGGGCAATTTAAAATATTTGAAACGTCAGCTACATATATGAAATTTTTTTGTTTGTTATTCTACCATAGAAGATACAGCATAAATTCTACTTCCTGATTTGGGAGAATAGGCACCAGCCTGCCCACCCACAGAGACACCAGGCCTGCAGGTGGAGTGGGTCCGCCCTCCCCTGCCCTTACGTACCCACGTTGGACCTCTCAGGCACGTTGGCATGATAGGTCTCGTGTAAGAACTCGGGAGGGTTGTCATTAATGTCCTGGACCTTGACGATGAATTCTGATGGCGGCTCCAGGGGCCGGTTGGTGTCCCTGTCCACCGCCTGAGCCATCAGCGTGTACTGGGCTCTCTCCTCTCGGTCCAATGTCTTGGTAGCATGAATGTTCCCTGATTTGTCATCAATCACAAAAATGGTTCCAGCTCCTTCACCTGAGAGAATGTATTTAATGTTCCCATCACCAGAGTCAATATCGGAATGAAGCTAGGAAAAGAGAAATCGAGATTTGTAATTCCTTGACAGATGCACTGGGGAGGTAGAGACACACTTACATGCTGTTGAGACAATACACTGTTTACATACACACACACACTGAGAGCGAGATGTTCTCACCCCATTTTACAAATCAAGAAATGTAATCTTAGAGGAGATAATTGTCTTGGCCAAGGTCACACAGCTGGGGAGCAGTGAAGCCAGGGTCCAAACATTTTTAAATTTTAAGATTCGTGTTGTCCCTCCCACTCTCCCATTACATATGCACACATACAAAATATATATAATATACATTAGTTCAGTTATTTTGAAAGAAATATGCACATACTATGGAAAATAAAAAGCACACATTTGTGCAATAAGTAAATCTTATAAGTTCTGATTCCCATTCCTTATTTTTCCCTGCTCAGAGACAGCTCTTATGACCAGTTTCTTGTGAATCCTCTAAGACATATTCTATGCATATGCAAGAATATCTATACAGATACACGTGCTTTGGTTTATTTTTACACAATAAAGTGCATAGTGCACATGCCACTCTTCACTTCTGCTTTCCTACCACAATAAATTCAGAGGACCCTTCCACACTGGTACATATAAATCGACCTCATCAACTGTATGGATGTTATTATAATTTCAGTCCTCTTCCAAAGGACACTAAGATTCCAAAGGACACCAGGCTTTTGTTACCTCAAACAATCCATTGGTCAGACTTTCTGAAAGACCTGCTGTGTGGCGCAGGACGTATGAGGAGCTGAGGATGGAACCTGCCTGAACAAGCCCCCATTCCCATCGTAAGCATGGGGTGAGTGGGGTGGGTTGATATATATGCAGCTCTTAGACTAAAGGAAGACTATATATCCTTGGGATTTTCCCCTCTGTTGACAAAGCCCAGAGAAATGATGGAACTTGCCTAAATCCACGGTTGGCAGGGCCAGGAAGTCATCCAGGTCTCCTAACTACCCACCTGTGCCTTCTGCCTTGACTCTGCTCTGTGTGTTGTAACATGGAACTCCCCCCCAAAGACCACATCCAATTTTCCTGTAGCAATAAACTCTTTATTGTACCTTGTTGCCCAACCTCAATTTCTGCAGCTATCATCTCGATGAGTTCCTCTGTCCTCATTTTACCCTTTGTGGGAAAAGATAAGCATCACTTTCACCATTCTCATAGGCTTCAAGAGTAACCAAGTGGATAAAAAGCCCTTGGTTCTACCTACTACGTAAGAAAGCCTAGTATAAACTAAAAAGCTTTATTCAAATGACATTGAAATATAATAATGCTTACTACTTATAATTATTATCTTATTATTTATTATAATTCCATTTTAATATTATTAATGCGATTTTAATTATTATTATTATGAAACCAAGACTTAGAAAGCTTGTCCAGAATCACAAAGCAGTATTTGAACACATTGCTTTAAAAAACTTTTTGTATTGTTCCAGTTTCCCCAAAAATATCTAACTGATTTACAGTGCCTCAGTGAAACACCAGATATTTCAGCTCAGGGGGATACCTGTAGGTACAAATTACATGTTGATTTTAGTCTATAGTGCTTCTCAGGAAAAGAAAAAAAGCATACTTTCCTTCAGAACTTGTTATTCATAACAAGCTATGTGCTGTCATGAAATTATGACTACACATTTCTTATGAATAAGGCAGTTTGCGAGTAATATACAAAGCTATTGGAATACATGAAGCTACAAAGGATGACCCAAATTGCCCCAGTCTTCATACAAGTTTCCACAGTGAGGGCAGGATCCCTGCCCCCATTCCTCTGGCTCCCCACCTAACCCCCAATAATAGTTTATGTTCATTTGTTTTCCCTGCCTCAAACCTGGCAAAAGTCAGGGGCTCAGCCATGTGAATGCGCAACAAGGAAATCAATGCAACACTTACTTTAATGGGAGTGTTTAGACAAGGAATGTTTCTAGGGACCTTCGTATATTACATATGAATTCGGCAAGACTCTTGGGAATTAAGCGAATTTCATGATCAACCAAATAACTGAAAAACATTCAAATATACTGCTCATTATTTTTATCTTGTTTTCAGAGTTCAAAGTTGGATATAAATTCCTTTTTTTCCCTCTCCAACAAAGATGATCCATACAACCAACAATGATATTTATTAGTTTCAACACAAAAAGCAGTTTGGCAAACCATTCAGTGCTATCAAGGGATCATTTGCTGAGGTGGACACAGCCAACTCCTAACTCCCAAGACTGATGGCATCCCCTCTGCAGAGCACAGCATGATGCAGACTGTGCTTCCTGCAGGAAATCTAACAGTCCATGGTTTGCCAAATTACACTTTTTTTTTTTTTTTTTTTTTTTTTTTTTTTCGCGGGCCTCTCACTGTTGTGGCCTCTCCCGTTGCGGAGCACAGGCTCCGGACGCGCAGGCTCAGCAGCCACGGCTCACGGGCCCAGGCGCTCCGCGGCATGTAGGATCTTCCCGGACCGGGGCGCGAACCCGTGTCCCCTGCATCGGCAGGCGGACTCTCAACCACTGCGCCACCAGGGAAGCCCCCCAAATTCCACTTTTTGAGAGCATCTTATATCACTCAACCTTGAATGTCATCAAATCAAAGGTTTTTAGGGAACAAGTCATCTAGTCTAATCCTCCTATTCATGGGGAACTACAGATCAGCACTGCCTCAAAAGGAAGTTCCATAGGATCCAACCACTTTATTTCTTTTTACCCCCATCCAATCCGACATCAGGCTCATTTTCGTGTGTCTAGATTTTCCGTCCTCTTCCATCTGCTGACTTTTAGGAGGCATGACACCTGCTTGCTCCACAGAGATGCTGAAATGGCCCTCTGGGTCCTGTCTCTTCTGCACTCCCCACCCTAATACACACCCTGCTCCTCACTGAGAAAGTCCCCGTGGCAGATGTTCTATTTCTCAGAACAGTTCATGCACAGCTTTCCACATTGTTCAAGCCACACAGTTCCTGCTGTGGCTCAAGTCTCTTCTTCCTCTCTGGGCATACAGCCCATCTCCTTGATGGAAGGAATTCTATGTGCCAATTATTTCCCTGTGCTCCATTTCTCAAGGATACTTCTACTTTGGGTGTAATCTTTCCATTTTGGATATAAATGATGAAATTGCTCTAGTACATCTCTTCAAAAAGGCAGTTTTCCAACCCTTAACAATATTATTGAGATGCTAATATGAACCTCCTCCAAATATGTCAATTCCATAAATATGGAATGCTATTCTCAAGTTAAGCAGCAACTAAGATAACTTCATTGAAATCTATGAGGCTCAGAAATGAGCACCCCACAAATCTGCTCTTGTCCCTTTCCCCCTTCACAGGATAACTTTTACTCATCCTTCAGGTCACAAGTTATTACCACTGTCTCCATGAAACTTCCCTTCATCCCTCCCAAACTTTACCATGTAGACTGAATTGCTAGTGAATTTCTTCATTATTCTACTCCTTGTTTTAGTTTTTTTAATTGTTTAGGTAAGTGTCTCTTTTCCACTAGTCCCTGAACTCTTTGAGACCAAGGACTATTTTACCCTAGTTTACCATTTGCCTCACTCTGTACCTTCCCATAACAGGCTTTATGTTCTTATGTGTGTGAACACATATCTCTTCGCAGTTAAGGTCACTGTTCTCTAAAAGGTGGCTGTATGTTTTACCATAATTGATATAGCAGGCAGTTTTTCAAACATCTTTTGTTTGTTTGTTTGTGTTTTTTAATTTTGGCTGTGCTGTGCGGCTTGCAGGATCTCAGTTCCCCGACCAGGGATTGAACCCGGGCCTCCTCAGTGCAAGTGCTGAATCCTAACCACTAGACCACTAGGGAACTCCCTCAAACATATTTTGAACTCTCTACCCTTGCACTTTTTGGAGGGTGTACCCAGAGAATGCAGGATTTCTCAGTAGTACTAAGACTCTCAAGCCTTCTGAAATGGGTTTTGCCATCCCTAAGCCAAAGTGGATAAAATTCCACCCATTCTTATGACACATCCATTCATCTTGTCAAATATTCACAGAGGCGTCCCCAAAGCTGGACTTTGGTACAGGACCTGGGGATACAAAAATGACGCTGTTCCTGATGGAAAGTAGTTTAGGGTCCAGTGGGGGAGACAGATGAATATGTAGACATGTGTACTACAGAAAGGAAAGCTATGATGAAAAGAGTCTAGAGCATCATAAGAACACAAATGATGGCATCCAAGTTTGGGTTTGGATGTGGTAGGGGAAATGCCCCCAGTTGGAGAATGGTTAAATAAATAATCATCATTTCTATTCAGTAGACTCTACTGTGTAACCGTTAAAAAACAGAGTTTTGAGGGCATAACATCAAGTGGAAAACTGAAGTGTTAACATGGATAAGTCTATGAACTAAAAAAAAAAAAAAAAAAGCCTACAAGGATGTATGAACAATGATTTTGTGGTTTTTACTGATGGCCAGACCATTATTATTTCCCCTCCTATATTTTTGTTTTGACCATACCCTAGTACAGGGATGGTGGAGAGTGAGAAATAAATGTGGAGTGACAGCAACCTTACCCTGCCCACGAGCACGGGGTCAGGCCCGGTGTACTCCTCTATCACGAAGAACTGGTTCCAGACCCAGCCTCTCTTGGAGCGCTGCAGCACCTGGCCCTCCTTGCCCTTCTCGTGGTGCCCGTGGAACGAGGGTCGCAGGTGGCTCCTACGCTCCGTGGCGAAGGCCTGGCTATGGCACAGCATGCCCAGGCACACCAGGGCGGCTTGTAAACAGTAGTTCTCCTTCATTTTTGGTTACGTGGTAGGCACAGGAGAATGCGGCTGTCACCCCTTCCAGCGACTGTGCTGCAGCCTTGGCCACTGGTGGCCTCCCACGCGTCACGCCGAGCTCTCTCGGACTGGAATGTTTCTCCTCGCTGAGCACATCACGTCAGGGCTGCCCACTTCCCCGGTCGGCCTCTGCAGGCAGAAAGAAAGGTCAGACTAGTCGCAGGCTCCATCCCCACTTCATTTCAATTCCATTCTGTAAACACTGACCCACTTTGGACCCTGTTAGGGCTTTGCTCTGGGTACTGAGGATGCAGAAGCCAGTGAGAAACAGTCCCTGCTCTCTGGCTGTTTACCACGCGGTGGGTAAGATAAACACATACACGAAGAAACCCCTCAAGGTCTATATGAGGATAAAACGTGTGCGCTGTGGAATCCTGCTGCCCAGGTCTGAGTGTCAGTTTTACTAGCTCTGGGTTTGGGGTAAGCCGACACTGAGCTTAGCTTGCTCATTTATGAAATGGGCTCGCGAATCGAACTCACTGCAAGATCTACACAGGGATACACGAGTAATACCCCTAAACAAGGCCTGCTATACAGTAAACGCTTCATATTTATCTGTTATTATTATGATCATAACTGTGCTTGGGTACGTTTTTGTAATAGGGAAACTTAGGGCATTATGGGTGGCCAGGAGAGGAACACATAATTGATGGGCGTTGAGGATGGAGATGGCAGAGAGTGGGGACCGTTAAGGAGGACTTCCTGGAGGATGGGATGGATGGGCACAACCATCAGATGAGTTACTGTGATAAGAAGGGAATGGATGGGATGTCCAGATAGAAGGAACAGCATGCCCCAAAGCCCAGAGCTGGTCACAAGCATAGCACGTCCCAAGACTGTTCGGCTTACTGGATGGTATAAGAAAGGAGGAAGCCATCAATGAATCCTTCTAGATATGGGAGGTCGGGGCAGACCCTAAGATGGTCACTGATGGCCACTAAAACATTTGTCAGTGAAATAATGGGTCAAATTCTCATTGTTGGATCAATATAGTGTCAATTCAGTAAGCAAGATTTGCTCTTGTCGGGTCCAGTGTCCACTCAAGAACCTGAAGATCCTACCTTAACCTGACAGTCTTTCCAAGGATACTTTATAAGCTCTCTCCAACAAGGAAAAGCAAAATAAAACAGAATCCCCACCAGCTGGTCCAAAGGTCTTGTTCCTGGCACCCAGCCATGACTCAGCTACTCATCGATAGTAAAGATGAGCTGCTAACGCCTTTCCATGCCTCTTGTGGTTTCTCACCTACAGTCACTCCAGTCCTCTCTCCAGCACTCTGGTTCTTCTCTCTGGTCCTTAACTCCTGCCTCAGGTTTCTGGACTTCTTCACGGGACTTTGTTTTTCTGGTGCTGGAAACTTAATTCTCCCCTAAGGAACTTCCAAAGCTCATTCTCCTATCTCAGTATCCTACACCTTCTTCTGGACAGTCATCCTCTCCCCTTGGAGCACCTCTCAGAAACAAGTCGGACCCCTAGTTCCCAGAACCAGACTGTCCTCACTACCACCCCCATCCCCAACAGGAGGGACTCTCAGCAAGTTGCTGGGCATGGAGGATGACACTTCATTTCAACACCAGTGGGTCTAAATGAAATTGGTGAGATTCTTTTTTTTTTTAATTGAGAGGTATCGTTGATTTATAATGTTGTGTTAGTTTCAGGTGTATGGCAACGTGATTCAGTTATATGTGTGTATATATAGGTTTATATATATATATATATATATATATATATATTCTTTTTCAGATTCTTTTCCCTTATAGGCTATTACAAAATATTGATTATCGTTCCCTGTGCTATACAGTAGGTCCTTGCTGGTTATATATTTTATATATAGTAGTGTGTATATGTTAATCCCGAACTCCTAATTTATCTCCCCCATCCCATTTCCCCTTTGCTAACTCTAAGTTTGTTTTCTGTGTCTGTGGATCTATTTCTGTTTTATAAATAAGTTCATTTGTATCATTTTTTTGTAGATTCCACATATAAGCAATATCATATGATGTTTTTCTTTCTCTGTCTGGCTTACTTCACTTAGTATGATAATCTCTAGGTCCATCCATGCTGCTGCATGTTGCTGCAAACGGCATTATTTTGTTCTTTTTTATGGCCGAGTAGTATTCCACTATATATATACATAAGCTGCTAATGCCTTTCCATGCCTCTTGTGGTTTCTCACCTACAGTCACTCCAGTCCTCTCTCTAGCACTCTGGTTCTTATATATATATCTCACATCTTCTTTATTTATTCCTCTGTTGATGGACATTTCGGTTGCTTCCAAGCCTTGGCTATTGTAAATAGTGCTGCAGTGAACGTTGGGGTGCATGTATCTTTTCGAATTATGGTTTTCTTGGGATATATGCCCAGTAGTGGGATTGCGGGATCATATGGTAACTCTATTTTTAGTTTTTTAAGGAATTTCCATACTGTTCTCCATAGTGACTGTACCAGTGAAATTGGTGAGATTCTTGAGTGTTGTAGGAATAAAAACCATCACCTAATTCTTTGCTATATGATTTGGATGAAGTGGTTAGATGGGGGGGAGGGGAATAGGAGAGAGAGAGAATGCATCTTGGCAGAGTGGAATGTACCTAGATTTGGAGGTCAGGTAAACGTGAATTGGAACACCACTTCTATATATTTCAATCAGGGTGGCCTTCGACATGTCAGTCAGGCACTCTTAGCCCCCTCAGTCTCATGTGAACAATAGGGATGACAAGAATTGGTACACACATGCAGGGCTGAAGACACAGAGGGAACTGGGCACACACTGGATCTCTTCCTCTCTTTCTAGAGCACCACAGTCCAAGCATGCAGCCCTCACTCAGCAGAAGGAAGTGCTCTTGCCCTGCAGGTGGAGATGCCCAGAAGACAGGGGTGAGGTCCTTTCTCTAAGAGAGGAATTGAGGAATAAGAGTTATATGGAGGTACCACAGCCATCTGGCCTTAGAGGTCTCAAAAATAAGGGAACTGGTGGCATTCTAATTTGCTGGCAGAACCCCTTTTCTTCTGAGGCTCTTTGATTTCATCAACCCAAGCCTTTCTCCTCCTTTGTAATATGGCAAAATATTATCTGGGGAGGCCACAGATGTGCATTCATTTCAGGCGCCCATCACTGTCCTCAGGACCATTTTATGATGTTTTATGCAAGTCTCTTTTCAGGGAATAGGGAATTTAGTGTTTGTTGTAGACCGACTCTGGGATATGTAAATGGCTGTGTGGAAGAGAAAGAAAGATTCAAAAGGCAGTGTCATCACTTAACAGCTTCACCCTGAGACTCAGGCCTATCAATACTACATCAAATGCTGTTTCTTACAAGGCAAACTGACTGCATGGGAAGAGCACAGGGAGGGACCAGAAGGAGTTTGATCCTACACTGAGGCAAAGTGAAGCCATAGGAAGATACCTGCATTTAAGTCAAAAAGCCAAACATATGATTAAGAATCTGCCACTTAGCTGGTAGTGGGACCTCCTTCAGCTCCGAGGGTGGTGGCTCTGCCTCACACCCTGTAAAGTGAAGCCACTGGGTGACATTTTCTACAAGTGGTTTCCAGGTTCATATTCTTGTTTGGAGTTGGGGTGAGATATCTTGGGGGCACTTCTGATTCATACACCATCTCCTTACTATACTGGTTTCCTCTTAATGGTTGGGATGATATCTTATTCACAATTAGATGGCCAATGCCTGAGCTCAAAGCAGGACACCAGTAAAAGCTGAATGTATGATTTGAACCCGATACTTCAAGTTCAAACTTGATATTGCCACCATAGAATCTCAAGAAGAAGAAATAGAAAAGTAAAAGCATATGGTGCAACAAGATCTCTGCCCATTTTACACATGCCACTTAGTAAGTGTTCATTCACACGGTGATAAATTATCCTTGCATATAAACTGTGAGGTGTATTTGAAAGAAAGGGTTTAATTCAAGTTGATATTTCTGCACCTCTTTCTTCTGGTTGCCATTTTGCTGTAAAGCACAATTATTCCTGACATTAAACGTGTTGAAACTGGACGACAACTTTCTTTTTCCTTTACAGAAGAAAAATTCTAGCGTGATACTAATGAATTTAAGAGTTTCCACATGACCAATAAACAATAAATTTCACCCTTTGTTAAAAAGGTGAAATTATCTATTTTCTTCTGTTGGAGAGAATAGCAAAATCAACTTGCTTTTAAAAGTAATTCCTTGAAACCATTATTTATAAATGCTTATATGGCTGTATGTACTATATAAAGTTATTTTAATGGTTAATCTCAGGTACGTTAAGACGAATTTTAAGACATTTCTAAATTCAATTTCAGAATGAAAATTTACTTAGCAAAAGCTTTTTCTAGCTATTGCTCTAAAAACTTTACAAATAGTAACTCATCCATTAATTTCTATAACAAACTTATGAATAGGTACTGTGAATATTCTTATTTTAAAGGATGGAAACTGAGGCCCGGATAGATTAAGCAACTTGTGCAAAGTTATGCTTCAGATAAATCGTAGTGCTGAATCTGAGCCCATGACGTTTGGCTCTAGAGTCTGTGTCGTTAACCAGTGAGCAATACCAGCTATCACCACTTGTTGGTTTCTGAGATTCATAAGGAGACGATATGGACACTGTGATAAAAACAGTAACCTAGATGCCACATGCAGTAAACCAGTATGAGAACCTAGTGTATACTCATAATATGACTATGATGAAAATGTTAATAACAGTAAACATTTGTCCAGTGTTCTTGTCTGCCTAACATTCTTCTAAGTGCTTTCAATGAGTTGAGTCATAAATTTTCACAGTAAGTCTGCACAATAGTATTATTGTTATCCCCATTTTACAGATAAGTAGTCTGAGGCATAGCAAGATTAAGTAACTTGTTCATAGTTACAGAGCCAGCAAGTGGAGGAGCTGAGATATGAACACTGGATGCTTGGTTCCAAGACCTGCATTGTTATCCCCTATAATCCCATGTGATATTGCTTCTCTAAGAGAAGGCTGAAGATCAAATATGGACACATCTCATAAGACATATCATAATAGTCTAATGATGAAAATAATTTAAGTTTTGGTGGCACTCTGGTGGGGGGTAATACTGTAACTAAAATATTAAACCAAACTAGAAAGAGGAAGGTAAAGCATTTTATAGCAATGATCAAAGTGAAGAGGAACAGGAAGTGATTATATCAGTTCATCAACAACACAGTACAACCAGGTCCTTGAACAGCACTAGTACACAAAAGTAAGTCTTTGCTTTTTTATTTTTAAACACCCTGTTTCAGGATTTCTATATGTATAGGTTAAAAAAGATGTGTTCAGAAAGATTATTATTATTTGGAAATGCTTCTAAAATCTAGAGATCTGGTTGATGTATGCAGTGGTACAGAGTCTGCAGGAATCACTCATGAAAATGAACAGGAGACCGCCCTCCTAAGAAGACCTTCACGTTGTTAACAACTAAGGAAATATATCAGTGTTCTAACTGGTTTTAATAAAGACCCCCCAAGGCAGTTCTTGAACAATCCTTCCTTTTAAGCACTTTCTAGCAGTATGCAAGAATGTCTAAGCATTGAGGTTCCACTAAAACAGACAGGAGGACTTTATTTTATGATGGGAGGATATTGCTTGCAAGGAAAAATAAATGTTGTTGAAAGTCACAGGAGTAATAACATGACAGGAAAATGGATTTGCAAAACCACCAGCTCTAAGTGGAAGGCTCGCCCCTCTATCTTGAGAGCAGATAGCCCGTCATAAGCTACTGCGCCTTGAGCATAAAACTCACTGTGTTTGCTTTTGTCTCCGTTAAAGAAAATGACATACGGGTGTTTAAGTATATTTGGACTCGTGCTGGAAATTGTTATCGGGTAGAGAAAAAAAGACGAAAACGCTTAGCAAAAATCAAACGGCTTTGGTTTTTTAGCTTTCTCCTCCCCCACAGAGCTGGAAGGATCAGACAGGCTGACCTGTTCTTTTCATTTCCAGGGAGTTAATTTACAGTTAAAGACAGGTTATCATTACATTAAGAATATTACCGAGTCCACCAGAACTCAAAACCTTATTCTGCAAGTGCAGTGGCCTCTTGTCAGGAGCTCAGGGGCTCTGGTCCCCACTGCAACAAACACAGCTTTGTGACCAATCGGATTCCATTATGCAAATTAATTCAAGCATATTTTATTCCCCGTTCAGATCTCATCGCTCAGCACTGAGCTGGTCTCTAGTTTCAAATCAAATCACAGGAATTATGCCACGTCTGTGGAAATCACAGAGAATGGAGAGAGGAAGTATTACAAGAACTAATGAATCACATTTCTTCCCCGATTTCTACGCTTGGAGCAAAGCATAAGCTTGTGGTAAGTCACTTCTGCTCAGGTGCAGAATACACAGCAGAGACTGCCAAGCAGGCATTGTATATGTTACTCCACTCTCTGATACCAAATTCAAATGTTAAAGTAGGTAGCAAAGGGCTTCCCTGGTAGCGCAGTGGTTGAGAGTCCGCCTGCCGATGCAGGGGACACGGGTTCGTGCCCTGGTCCGGGAAGATCCCACATGCCGCGGAGCGGCTAGGCCCGTTAGCCATGGCCGCTGAGCCTGCGCGTCGGGAGCCTGTGCTCCGCAACGGGAGAGGCCACAACAGTGAGAGGCCCGCGTACCGCAAAAAAAAAAAAAGTAGGTAGCAAAGAGGGCTCCTTATCAATGACCATGACATGCTTTAAGGGCAAGTGGAATGTTTAAAACTGTTCCATGTAAGTTTCATTCTCTGCTTCTAGAGAAATAGAGAACCACAGGAGTGTCAGCTTTGGAAGTGAAAAGATCAGACCATGCCTGGTATTGGGAAGGCCTGGGTCCAAATCCTAGTTCCATCACTTATGGGCTATATAAAATTAGGTAATGATAGTTGAAATTATCCTTGACGAGGTGCTTGATTTTTCTAGTACTCGGCAATATACTCAGGGCTTGATGTACACCATTTAACTGTATTTTCTCCACAACTGTATGTAAATATCACCCACAATATCATCTACAAGGAAACTGAGGTTGTGGGTGATGAAGTAAATCACTCAAGGATACACTCTGAAACACGGGCAAGGCTGCAATTCAAATTCAAATTTATGTGACTGCAAAACCCATGCTTTGGCTTTGCCTGGCTCCCAAACACTCAGAGTCCATGTTCCTGATCTTCAACACAAGGACATGGTTTAGACCATCTCCAAGGATGGTCTAAACTCCATGTTGTATTTGACATTGAAAAAAATCTTTGTTAGATGTGAATTTCATTTAAGCATGTACAATCAGCCTTTATATTCTTAGGCTTTTGTGGCCACAGAGTATTCTAGAAATCCATCTTAAGTCCCCAGACCCCAAACATACAGAATCATTCACTGATTATTTATTAATCTTTTCAAGTAATTAAATCATCTTCAAATGACAAGATGACTAAACACAATCTGTGATACGAAGAACTTATTATTTTTGCTCTACTCAATCCTTAAGATAGTCTTTTTCTCACTGTAATATTTTAAAATGTTAATCATTAAGATGAATAAAATATATCATCACATACAGGTAATGACACTGTCATCAGTATCATCTCGGGCTATGAATACACACCCTATATGAATGTGTGGAAAGAGAGAGATCTTATTTTCCATTTTTCTCCTGCATGAGTGAAAGTACCTGAGGGAAGATTAGGGCAAAAATGGTAATGATAAACAGATGCTCGACATAATGTAACGTCATTTGTGGTATCAAAGGCCTGTACGTAAATCTCTCTTTGTCTCAGAGCAGTGAATGTCTATAAAGCTTTCTTTATTTCCTGGTTCCTTCATTCAGCAGTAACTTTTCACAGTGCCAGACCTGGGTTGGACCCTGGAGGCTGCAATGCCTCTCTGATCTGTAGACTCTACTCAAACAATGGTGAGACAGTTGTCTAAGCAGATAAATGATCGTATGATGTGATAAGTGCAAACAGGACTGGGTAAAAGAACACAGAGGAATCAGTGACCACATCTCTGCAGATGAATTTGTAACATACCACTCCTGCCTTCTGGTACTTGCCTACTCCAGCCCCTTCCAAGCAAATACCTATATTAACAGTCTCCCACATCCGGAGTTTCCACTCTCACCCAGAGCCATGGATGACTGAACCACATATAGTCCAGTGATAACCAAACCATAAGCCAACCCCTGATTTTATCAAACTGTGTAACCTCGTTCAAAATGATAACCTGGGGGGCTTCCCTGGTGGCGCAGTGGTTGAGAGTCCGCCTGCCGATGCAGGGGACACGGGTTCGTGCCCTGGTCCGGGAGGATCCCACATGCTGCGGAGCGGCTGGGCCCGTGAGCCATGGCCGCTGAGCCTGCGCGTCCGGAGCCTGTGCTCCGCAACGGGAGAGGCCACAACAGTGAGAGGCCCGCGTACCGCAAAAAAAAAAGATAACCTGGGTGAGTCAGATTCACTGGGGAACTTTAATGAAAGAAAACAGGACCATTTGGCAGTTAGTAAGGGAGCTGAAACTGAAGGTTATGAGGCACCTGGGGGATGGAGTAGCCACAAAGTGACATCTTATGGCCAGTGTTTCAGTGAAATCAAAGTATGAGCAAGTCAGTTAGAAACCAAACAGAAACAAACATGGCCTCTGTCCCTGAGCCATGTAAATGGCAGAGCACATGGCCCTGTTATCTTAAGATCTTGTCAATCAAGGACTTCCTCCAGCTGTTGTCTCCACAGGGCCCAGCCCTACTGATATTCTGTTTCTGAATTTCTATGAGGTTGTTTGCACTGCCCTCCCTATACATCAGATGACAATTAGCCCCTTGTACATGAGCTAACTTGAGTGCTTTCTTTTATCATCAAACAGCAAACCTAGTAAACTATTAATACAATAATCAAGAGGAAAAGTTAGGTGGTTCTTCCCCTGGTCAAGGGTGAAGTACTATAGCTGTGGAGATCCTTTGTTCAGATGTAGAAAATGCCTATTTCTTCTCTAAATTTCCAAGGAATACTGGGCAGTAGGGAGAGGTGTAGAACAAAAGTCAAGACACTTGTGTTGTAGCAAAGGTTCTGCCACTAAACAGTTGTGTAATCTTAGAAAAGACACTCTTCCTTTGGGACTGAGTTTCTCCTTCTATAAAATAGAAGACTGGCAACAGCCTGTTAAGGAGCTGTCTAAAGGAGCCTGTGAGTCTGTGCTGGGCTGAGACACAGCAACTTTCCCTGGATGGAGAGAGATGAAAATTCATTTAGAAGGTCTGGATCCTGCCGCACTGGCAGGGCTGCTCCATGCACAACTCCAGGAGTCCCACTTACATCAGATATAATGTGAATGGGGCCCTCTGGGACTAGGCAATGCAAGACCTGCTAATGTGACAGGTATTAAAACCCAGCATTAGGAATCAGGACTTTACCTGATGGCCAGTGGGAATCCATTAAGTTCTCTGGTCAGTAGACTGATGGAGTCCGAGCTGTCAGGGGTATACAGGATAAACCAACATGAGAAATGGCAGTTCTGACAAAATTGTTGAGAGCATGGGCTCAGGAGTCAGATGGGGTTAGAGGATTACAGCTCAAGAGTTACTACTCACTACGTGTGTGACTCAACCTCTGTAGGTCTCCACACTGCAATACTGAAGATGTGAAGAACACCAGGACCGGTCTTAACGGGGGAGTTCTAAAATGAAACAAGATGGTGCATGAAGAGAACTCCGTGTAGTACTTGACATGGGCTGGCACACAGCAGGTGATAAAGACGATAAATTAGGAGTTTTGTTCCTTCAACAAGAATACATAAATATGTACTATAAGCCCTGGATGCATGAATATGGCATATAATACACATACAACATGCAGTACGGTGCAAGCCTCACAAAGGTCTCCAGGAGGCTGCCCATTAAGGAGATACAGACAAACCAATATTTATAATAGGGATTGCTAAATGCAATGATACTAATATATGAGTCCAGGGAGACTCCTGGAGTCATTGCAATAGTTCAGGTGAGAGATAGTATGGTTCTGAACTAGAAAAATAAACCTCGTATGGAGGAAAGAAGGCCTTTCTAGAAATCGTGCGATGTGAAGGGCCTTGGGAACTGGACAGATTGAGGATAGAGGATGCGACTCTGCAGTCTGGGGAGAGCGAGAAGACAGTGGTGCTGCTTCTGGCCTCAAAAGAAGAAGACACTGGTTTGGGGATAAAGAGCATGAGTTTGCTTTTAAACATATTAAGCTTGTAAAGCCAATGGACTGATGCTCAAGTCCAGTTCCCAACTTCTTCCAGTAGTAGGTATTGCCAATGTCAGCGCTTCTGTTTCAAGTTCGGACATTTTGTTGCATTAATCAATCTTAGAATCTCAGAACTGGGGGAAATCCTAGCTTAGATTTTCCACTATTCGTCCTTCTTCAACAGACAGATGGGAAAACTGAGATACAGAAATGATAAGTAACTTGCAAAATAAAAGACAGCATGAACAAAACCTAAAGACCTCACTGTATAGAGCGAAAATATAGGGGGAGGAACAAGTATCGACAGTGAAAGATAATTTTTATAACATCTACCCTGCCCTTTCCCCTCAAAACCTGGATTAAAAGCAGTCCTCCTTTTCAAACGATTTCTATGAAACGGCCAGTCCAGGTTCAAGAAAGGAACAGACATTCAGAAATAAGGACCTGGGAGGTCTTTAAAGATGATCAGTGGAGAACTGGAAGAGGAAAAGCAATCTACATATTCTTGCTAGAATGTGACATCCTGCAGAGAAACACAAAGTCTGTTTTTTAAAGCATAAACAATAAGAGGAGGAGTTATCCCAGGGTGGCCTTAATAACTGACAAGGGCTTGATGTGGTTTTTTGAAATAATTACGAAGGCGAGGAGAGAGAGTGCCTCCAATCACCACCTCCCAGAGCCTTTAGAATTCTGAGAAGGCCAGCCTGTGACCTCAATCCACTGCGGTCCCCGTGCATCCGTCCAGCTTAATCAGCCACTGAACAGGAGTGAGGAATGGAGAGTCAAGCTGCTTCCAATTATCAGAAGCTTGATTTTTACCCGAGTGTGGGTGGGCTGTTCTGGAGGTCTCTTTCTAATGGACCTCCCCAAACTATGCTATCATGCTAAGAGTAGACTAAACTCTGCCATATTTTAAATGGCTTTTTTTGTATCTTTACATACCCCACAGAGAGTCCCTGCCCCTCCTTGTTTTCAGAAACCAGACACCAACAATAGCTTCATAATGATCGCATTGTGGTTTCAAATAATCCAATCTTTGAAGCCCAATTCTTTCTTTTCAAATGCACTAACATCAGTTATCAAAAGTAAGGGTTTTTTTTTTTTGAAAAAAGTTAAGCATAAAAGAAAAGT